CTCATCTATATAAGAGGTCCCATTCCGGCATTCCCAGGATCAAAATTGTTGACGCACATGCCAGCACACGTGCCGGAACTATGGACTGGGCGAGGGCTAAATCCCTCTTAACTTATAGAAAGAAGAATTATGTAAGGGGGAAGGCTAAGCCAGGTTCTGAGGTATTGAAACATCGATGTTTCTGCATGTCAAATCTTCCTCGGAATACATGCAGAACATGCAATTTCACTAGAGATTCAGACATTCGGAGAAGCATGCCGCTACAGTTCGTCTAGCCCCCACTCCTTCCCTTTCCTCCCCTCCCCAACCACACCAATTTTCCGCCTATGCCATTATATTCCCAGTGGTCTGAATTTTATTTTCCATGCATGTGAGAAAATAGACAAATCATTGCATGCAGCTCCCGTTTAATTAATGCATGCCTAGTTTCTTACCTCAATGGCCTCGTTTTCATGTTCCCCTGTTTCACATTGGCAGGCGCACGTGAAAACGAGGCCACTACAAATTACCCTTTACAACCCATTGTAAGAAGAACTACGTAACATGCATGCTTGTAATTTTTCAAATTTCTCAGATCGTGGCCGGCGTGGGAACGTTAAGCTGTAAATTAATGCTCCAGCTGTTTGTTTTCACATGTAAAGCATGTTAATAAGAAACGGATTGGTATTAGAATGCTGATGGCATAGGCGGGAAAATTAGGGATGCGGACAACAATTTGGCCGACGTTGAATGAATAAAATGTGAATGGAAGAAACACATCTCCTATGCAGATGCGCGGAAATACAATGTCAACCTTAACTCTACTGCACATAATTTACATGAAACAATTTTTAATCCGCAGTATCCGTCAACATTAATTAATTAATTAATTAATGACAAAATACAACGTACCGAGGCAGGCAGGCCTAGCAAATTTCGCAATTTTAAAGTAGAATCTGCTTGAGTAAACACTCCGTCTCTTACGTTTATGCCACACTGTATTTAAAATTTAAATTGAATAAGATTCATTGTTATTTATCAATGGTCAAGGAGAACTAAAGCAATCTGGGTGAACCGTTTGTCGAATTCGGCACAACTTATTGACATGCATGTATGCAACACAAAAGACAAGTCAAGAAACTGTTACAATTGAAGCAAAACAAAAGAAAACGGGATAAATAAAAAGAAAAGGAATTCAAGACAATGAATTGTTGAAATTGAAATGATTCAAGATCTTTTTTATATTTTTGTGATCGTTGAAATTGTCCGTGCAAATAAAAAAAAATGCGGTCTCTACAATTAAAAGTAGTATATTTACAATCAGAGAACTAAAATACGTATTCCAGGGCTTGCTTTACACTGTCTAGTCGAGTTGGCCTAGCCTGCTCGCAGCCCGAATTGGTTGCGAAATTCAGGGATTTAATTTCGGGCTGTGAGCAGGCTAAGGTGGCCTAGTTGGCCCGAACCAAGCAAGGCCTGGCAAATGTAATTCTGATACGTTTACACTGCTATACATTGCCACAATGACGAGATAGCGCTCAAGTTTTCTAGCTCCGGTACCGAGGCTCGCAGTGTAAACATGGATTTAAACAAACAACATAATTAGTAGGCTAGCTATCAGTATAGCTATCAGTTTAAGTTGGAGGAAAACCACGTCCATATCTTAATTTCTAGCGAATTTCCGAAGTCTATAGACGTCCTAGCCTGGAATTGGTATGAATTCGGAGTGATTTGCGATACACCAGTCATTTAATTGTGCGTCATGTTTTGTGCAAATATTTACTTGGAAGTTGTATGGGCGTGGGATCTTTACATTTCGGAAGTTTCCCTATGAAAGACAAGACAAATATATCTGGAAATATATTAAATACACATCACTGAGTTAAGGCGAGATTATCTTATTAAAGGTGGGTCTCCACTATAGATGATTTTTGAGACGATCGTCAAAACAGTTCGCGACAACACATGCGCAATATTCAGTTAAAAATGTTCGAAAAGCGATCGTCTAGCGCTCGACGAAAAGTGTAGGATTGACTTCTACTTTTCGTCCGGCGCATGCTAGACATCATCTCTACTTCTATGACGATCGTCATATATAAAAATTGTCTCAAAAATCGGTTAGTGGTGATCAACCTTTAGGAGGAAAATACACGACGTATAGGAAATTTCGATAACAAGCGGGTGTAGTCGGGGGTGGGGGGGGGACGGGGGGGTTGGCGGCGCTGCAATGGTAAAATTATAGGTAACCTGATTCTCATAGGGTTATGAACATAGCATAGGGTAGGTTACCGCCTGGTAAACTACAGCAAAGACAAAGTGAACCGCATTTTTTCGAGAGATAGTTAATTCTTGCTATAAAGTGAAAGTAAACTCAAGTCGTCAAGACGCTCTATTGAGGTTTGGTGCTGAGAATATAAGTTAGAACGGTATGTTTACGTTTATTTGTTGTATTTTAAAATGTCTAGTGATGACTTATTGATATTTCTCTCACTTGTATACAGCTATTTCAATTAAGGTTGTGCACGAGCAAAGCGGAAAAGTCGAATACGAGCGCGAATGGCTGCTGGGAACCGCTTTGAAAATTCATTAATTTGTTAGCGATTCCCAGCAGCCTTTCGCGCTCGTATTCGACTTTTCCGTTTTGCTCGTGGACAACCTTAATTGAAATAGCTGTATATCATATATACTTGTATGTATCTAGTCAGATTTAACGCACAGCTGAAACATTGCGCAATTGAGTATCATTCCCCAGCCAATCATTAAATGTTAAAACAATAGCCATGAATTGGAATTTTTATGTAGCCTTTCAAAGAATATAAACTTAACAGTTTTCCTGTTCTACAGGGTGTCTCAAAAAAAGAACAGAATAAGCATATTGTTAAAATTTGAATGCCTTTTCAATTGCACATATGCTGAACCGTGGTGTGTGAAATATTGATGGAGTGCATATATTAGAAAAAAGGACCTTTAGAAATCAACCATTGTTATAATTTGAATCCTGGAGCACTTTGCTAAGCCCACGAGTGCGTAACATGCGATCTACGTACATATGCATGACAGATTGTTCCCAGGAGCAGGCAATCTTTTGTTTAAACGTTATTTCAATTTCTAAAGGTCTCCTATTTCTAATATATGCACCCCATCAATATTTCACGCACTACGGTTCACCATATGTGCAACTGCAAAGGCATTCAAATTTTAACAATATGCTTGATTTCTAAAGGTCTCCTTTTTTTGATACACCCTGTATATTATATAATCTGTGCAGTCTGAGACGAGGACTTCGACTTCGTTCTTGTTTTTGTTTTATTCACCCCCTATAATGTCTATAATGCTATATATAATTGGATTTTATATAGGCCTATAAATATGGTTATACACATTCGGTTTGTATATGTTCTAGATCTCTTATAGTATCAGACTTGAGGTGGTGGGACCTCTTCAATCACAATTCGAGAGATATCTCTGTAGCCAGTGCTTGCATTAGCGTCTCCAAATCCAGCACAGTTTGTAACCCACAAACCCACGCTTATAGCATCTTTTGGAAGTCGATCACAGTAACCTTCAAAATGACGTGAGGGTATTCCCCTGATTTTGCGTTGTACAGCGAGCCATCAATAGTCATTGGGTTTCTGCACTCAACGCCATTGAATGTAAAATACCATCGCTTGCATTTGTAATTAAAAGTAACACGGAGGTATCCTGAGAAGAAAACCCGCAGTGATGTGTGATCATGGTTTTTGTTGAAAGCACAGCTCTAAAAAATAAGATATAAATATATTCACTATACACCAACCACTGGATCTGATAGAAATAAAAACACTTCTCGACGATTCGAGCAATTAAACTCTTTAAAAAAATATTAATGACACGAAATTTCTCCCCAAATGTTTATGATTGCATTGTAAAGATCACTTAAAATGACTTAATAATTTCTTTTATATAATTTTGGTAACTTGCTCCCTTCTCAAGATATTCAACTTTGTTACATATGCAAATATCACCGGTGTGACATCACATCACATAATGAGTTTTCAGAAATGTATAGTAATTTTCTTGACGAATACGTATCTAAAAAACTTAAAAATTGCTCTTGTATATGCATTCATTTCATAACTGGTAATTAATCCTCTGTATTTATTTGTAAAAATATTTTATCAATGACAATGTAAAATATTGCGTTTTCAAAATGTAATTATGCGATGTGATGTCACACCGGTGATATTTGCATATGAAACAAAGTTGAATATCTTGCGAAGGAAGCAAGTTACCAAAATTCTATAAACGAAGTTATTAAGTCATTTTAAGTGATCTTTACAATACAACCATAAATATTTGGGGTGAAATTTCGTGTCATAGGCATTTTTAAGTTGAACAATTAGCAACGAAGAAAACGAAAAGAGAAACGACGAACAACAGCCGGCATGCAACAACAACCGTTGGACAGTAACTACAACAGCAAGTCATACAGTAACAACAACAATCATGACAATATTACATTCGATTATTGCGTTGTATATCTGTCTTAAAATGTAACTTCATGTAATATATAATAAACAGGAAAGCGTTTATTACCGGCGTATAAAACACCAACTGAAAAGTGTGTGTGAATAATAAACGAACACGCCGATAATAAACAATTTCGAGTTTATTATATTGCTTCTCAAACGAACTTGTATTTAGCGAGAAAATCAACACAAAAGTTGAGTTAATTTATGGACGTTTATCCTACCATCGTATCAACACAACGATATATGGTGGTGATTTCCTTCATGGGAATTATTTATGAGTTTGAGAAATATATATAACTGCATATATGTGGTATAATGAAATGAAAATCGTTGACGAGGTTCAATGATTATTAAAGGATGTTATTCTTACTCTGATAAATCCTTTATCTGTTTCATAAAATTTTCTCCAGGCACATTGTTTCCAGTTGGCGTGTGCGAGGGACTGTGCCTGACTATCACAACTGTGATTTCCTTTCAGTTCTCCAGGTTCCCCTTTCACGCCAGGCTCACCTTTTGCGCCATCGTTCCCGCGTAGTCCGGGCAAGCCATCTCTTCCATGTTGGCCCGGAATCCTAGGGATACCTGGCACACCTGCGCAACCACAGGGGACCTGTAAACTCTAAATAGAGGGAAATATATGTTTCTTAGTTCACATTTGTGCGGATTTCTATTGTTCTCGATACGGTTTTATTAGTTGGGTAAATATCTACAGGTAAAAGCAAAGGAGGCCGGGAATTTGATCTCTCCATGCACAGAGAAAAGCGGGCTTGATGAATAGAATTGAATTGAAATATTCAGCAGGTTTACCTATATAACCCGGTTTTTGCGGGTTTGATATATATATAAAACCCGCGCAAAAACCGGCTTTTATATATATACTGTATACAGCTATTTCAATTAAGGTTGTCCCGAGCAAAGTAGAAAAGTCGAATACGAGTGCGAAAGGCTTGCTGGGAATCGCTAAAAAATTAATGAATTTTTTAGCGATTCCTAGCAGCTCTAGCCTTTTGCGCTCGTATTCGACTTTTCCGCTTTGCTCGGGGACAACCTTAATTGAAATAGCTGGATACAGATAAAAGTCGGTGAATATCTAATCATCACTGAATTTAATCGAATTCTATTTACCAACCCCGCTTTTGCCTGTAGAGATATCAAATTCCCTCCCCTTACTTAGGGGCCGATTACATGGAGCATTTTCAACCCCGGGGTTGAACTCAGCAGTCAGCCCTGTTAACCGAGTTGAAATTTTTTACGATTACATGGACGATTTCGACCCCGGGGTTGAAACGTTATACTGTACGTTCTCGGTATCGATTCGCGGAAGTAAAAAAGCCTTTATTTTGTTTTCTTGTAATAAATAGTCACTACCACGTATGCTCGAATAACACATGATAATTTCGTGCAGCCCTGGCATGACAAAATTTTCAACCCAGAGCTGAGTTCAACCCCGGGGTTGAAATTTCAACCCGGCCTGCTAGCTGAAGCAGGGTTGAAATTTCAACCCCAGGGTTGAACTCAGCCCAGGGTTGAAAATTTTGTCATGTAATCGCGCGTTTGATTTTGATAGAGTTTTGTATTACAGACAGGGCTGAAATTTCAACCCGGTAAACAGGGCTGAATTCAACCCCGGGGTTGAAAATGCTCCATGTAATCGGCCCCTGAATCTTTGTTAGCGCTTCTACCTTCGGCCATGCTATTTCAGCCCACTCTTTTCAAACACGAATTGCCCAGTTGGTGTTGTGTCTGTGTCTTAATTGTTGTTGGCCCGGGCGTGAACGAATGAATAAAAATTAATCAATGCACTACCATAGTCCAACAAGAGAATTGATGCATATCAAATGCAAAGCCTTGTTTGTTTTGAAGAACAATACATTATCAGAAAGTAGATTTCATTGTGTGTCAATCCTTACAAATTTGAAGTTAGTTATAATTACCTCGAACGTCGGTTTCTTATCGAGATACATTTGGGCATTATGGCCCTTTATACATAACTATAGAGAGGCTGTGTTTGAATATATAGGGCCTTAGCCCAAGGAGCACCTGTATTTTGACCTCGAACTCTTTGCGAAATTTCGTGCTGGATAAACTATAGCTAACTATTTTTCAAATTTACTATAGTCTTTCCTAATTAGTTATCTTCCTTAATTCAGCCCGCGTTTGAGACTATTCTCTCTCGTGTTGGCGAGATCACTTGCAGACGACTGCTAGGTTGAAGAGACTAGCATTGGATTTTGTTCAGTCTCAGATGAGTTCTTTGCATGCATCATGCATATGGCCAGGCTCTAAATCTTTGGTCATACCTGAGATGTACTCGACGTGTTTGCAAATGTCATTCCAACATGGACCACCAAATATAAAATGGACAACGCAGGTTCCATCGTGATGAGAGTGTTGTGCGATGAGTAGAGTGTCGCTGTAAATGATCAGGAGGCAGTGTGTGTTGAATGTTTTGTTGGTACACAATATACTACAGACAATTTGAATCGTCGTTATGGGAAAGTAAACATTGTTTTGTGCTGCATACAATTATGGGCGTACGGGAAGGAAAAATTAGGGGGGCGGAAAGAAATTTGCACAACTCTTTCGGATTGTGCCCGAGTTGTCAAAAAAAGTTTCCGGAGAAACTTTCCGAAATTGTTGTCGACGGGGGGAGGGGCAGGAGTGATTACGAAAAATTCCTATTCGATAGCATATTTCCCACAAAATTGACAGCATTTGTCCCATCTATTTTTATAATAAGCCAATATCGCCCGACTGTGAAGCGAATATTGCCCGACTGGCTTTGTTTGCCCAACAAACTGGGGTGGGGGGCTGCCGCCCACTCCGCCCCCCGCCCGGTACGCCCATGCATACAATCTTTAGTGTAGGTAAAAAAAGTTAATTGAAACGTAGGATACCAAGTAGTATATAAATATTGTATATAGCGTGTTGGTAACAGGAGGTAGCGTGATGATTGTCTTGTTGGTTAATTTTAGGTTGCCAATTGGAGAGAAAGAAAATATTGTGGTTTCTGTTGCTATCTACGTGTGGGTAGGAACAACTGAGTCACGTTCATATATAGGGAAAAAATGTATATAATTATCGTTTATACAAACATAGACAATCGAGAAGAATGGACTGGGAACGCCATTGTTTTGCGCGTTGCTATCCGCGTGACGCGGCGGCTGCACAATCTGCAGTCACGATCATACTATATTTTTGGAAACGGAAGCTGCATAGCAATGAATTCATAAACGTTTCGTAGCTTTGTTATTGAGAAATCAGTTTTTATGATCTTATATAAGTAGAAACATTTGCTTTCGAGTACATACACGCAGTGTTGCGATGTTTCGCTCGCCGGACAATCAAACGGCTGATTTCTAACCCAATTGCAATCACAAGTTTTGAGGTTAGTTTTGACTAACATTTCAGACCACAGAGACCGTGCAAGCGGTGGGCGCTTCAACCCCCCCCCCCCCCCCATAGCCCTTTCGTGTTTGGTTTGCAGGAAAATTGGGACACTATTAACTCGTACTATCATAAATACTTTTTAATAGTTCCATGCTCAACTGGCTATATTATCATTACATGTAAGATTGAAATACGTGCCATTAACGGCTTAACCAATCTGATATATTTTTTCATCAATAAAAAATACTCAACAGTTGAATGTATATTAACTAAAATAATTCATGACGTCATATTAAGAATTTTCATTTCATTTTCTAAGTTGTTTATTTTTGTATTTCCAAATTTTACATATATACAGTCGTTGAAGGTTTTTTTCCGGAAACAAAATTGTAGAAACTGATAATATAAAATTAATTGATAGCGAATTTAATAGCAAAATGTTTCGTGGAATCCACTAAAATCCACTTGGTGTAAAAACAACATTGGCCCAATACCAAAATTTTACTTGAAAATCCTAGAGTAAAAAACATATAATTGTTTCAAATTTTCTCAAACATAAAAAGTAATAGTACCAGTGGAAAAGCACGAAGAGCTGATGAGGAAAATGGTGTATGGTCTACGATTATCATTCTGCATGGCGCCGTATGAAAATTGGTACTGACGCTACAATTCCAGCTTGGTTCCGTTTAAGGCGAAATTTATTTAGGCGTGTCTTATTGCTATGGATTATTTACATACGCCAGAATAAGAATAAGAATCGTATACGAATCGTATACTTTTTGCACTGCTTGGCTTTCCCGGTCCATTCCTCTCCATGGGCTATATGATACAAATTATGAGCTGTAAGATTGCCTGGAGTGAAGGTAAACATTGTTTCGCTATAGCGATCTTCCAGTGGGTAGAAAAAACGTCCATTGAAGAGTAGGACATCGAAATTTACATGTTTGTAAATGACTAATTGTCAAATGCTATATTTAATGTTCTATATATATAGGTGATTGAGATATTTAGTTTGCATAATATAGAAATAGTTTTTCAGTTATCCTGCAGTGGGGGGGGGGGAATAAACCGCATTGTTTTGTATTGCGATTTTCTTTTACATGCATCTATATTATAACTGCATGAATGTTCCCATGCAACAACAACTTAAAAACCATTTTATGCTTTCAACAACAAATGCTAGGCTTTATTGCCAAGGAGATATTTTTTTTCTGTAGAGTGCATTGAGCTGGGTTTGAAACGCCAATAGTGTAAGCATAAATAGCATTGTTTACTATGTCTGTTGAAAATCTGTATATCGTTGTGAATTTATGAATGGAGCGTTAGTCGTCGGAGCTATACGAAAATAGTCATTTATAAATCATCATTAATAATCCCAATGCCGAATGGTTGTGATATATAGGCAGTAAAAATAAAATCAGATGAATTACTGTATTATAGTTCATACTTGAACTCAGGTAAAATACCGACCTTACGCTTTTAATAGCGTCTCTTATGAGGCAGCCATGCGAAGCTTCAGTCAAACAATGGATCGACTTAGTATACCACATGGACTGGGGTCCACATTCCCCTATATAATCCGTCTGCACATCACATGATAAACGTGCTTACCCAGGAGGGAGAGAAAGGTAGATTTAAACCCCGTGCATGAACACATAAAAATCAATTGACAATTGTTCCAAGTATCACATGTATGCAGTCATAGATGGTTATTGCTACTGACTCACAACTAAATTACTGCCTCATCCCCAGTCACTTTATGTGAATTCAGGAGGGGAACCATCGATAAGTTGATTGCAGGCACGCGGAGACTGATGGGAAAGGGAACGATCAGAAAAGTTTTTTTTACAACCACTGATCTATATATGCCACTGATATGTGCCATCGTCATAAGATATCGTATATCGTCATAAGATTTTTTATCAATCTTCAAGAGAGAAGAAACATTTGCTCTCATGAAAGTCAGGACTCACGAAGGGAAGACAGAAACGGACAATACTTACCAATGCTTAAACATACTAAAAGCTGTTTTGATTCAAAACATAAACCAATAATAGACAAATTCGTAATATTTAGGTACATCCTGTTTGCGGGACATAAAACAAATGGGATCATGCAGTACGTGCTGTTCCCCTCGTTCTGCAGGGGGCGTATTGGCCGCTGTCACGAATGAGAAAATATTGATGGCGGTCTCCGTACAAAACACCAGCCATACATGCAAACGTGGGCACATGGTCTTCCTTCCTTCCATTTGTTTTACGTCTGCAAACAGGATATTGTTTTGCTTTTGACTATAATTTATATATTTTGTGCTACTTCAGTAACTTATGAAAAAAATATATGCTAACTACTCGACGACACGGCGTGACTCCTAATCTTACAGAAGCATATTATTACTCAAGATCCTTTTATAATTATTTATGTACTGTTTAATAAACTCGCAGGAGTGTTTTATTAGGTTTAAAGACCAAATAAAACACGACTTCAAACACTATTTCAAACACGACTACAAATTCAATAGATATAGCTACTGCCTTATTAGTACTCGTTATATAAAGAATATCAATTAGGCCGTGTTTCATCAGGTTTAAAACCACTGCACGTGACATATTATGGTTGACATGATTTGCCAATACGCTTATGAATTATTAATGAGTGTTTAAAAGCAATTTAGTTAACATTGATTGATCTGGGCAACATGTACCAAAAATAACGAAAATTGAATGCGTCCGCTGCTTTATATGCAATGCATGTGATTAATGAAATTTGGAAATTGCTAAAAACAAAAATGCCTATAGGGATTTACAAATTCGCCCATACCTGGAACTATACCTGACCTATACCGGAACTATACCAACACATACAGACAGGTATCTGCATTATAATTCATTTCATCATCCTAGTATCAAAAACTCTGTGTGTAAGACACTCATCAACCGAGCGAAAACAATTTGTGAGGTAAGTAACGTTGACAATGAATTAGAACATTTAAGAAATGTTCTAAAAACGAATGGTTACCCACGGCATTTCATAGATAATGCTATGAAAACGCCACAAAGTATACAGCAGAAGATTGAGTACCAGTCGTCTGTTTGTCTACCATACATTGGCCCGGCTTCACACAAAATCGAAAGAATTTTGAGGAATGAAGCAGGTATAAAGGTATACCATTCCAGCGAAAACAAATTGTTTCGAGCTCTTTGCACACATAAGGACAATGTAAATGAATCTCAGAAACCTGGTGTGTACCGCATTCCTTGTGAATGTGGTCTGGTTTACATTGGTGAAACTGGTCGAAATCTCTCAGTACGTCTTAAGGAACACAAGACGAATTGCGAGAAAGCCGAGCAAGATAAATCTGCTGTGGCTAAACATACTTGGACTTACGACCATCGTATAAAATGGGACGAAGCAACCATTTTGGCAATTGATAGTCACAAGTTCTCTCGCAAAATGAGAGAGTCAATTGAAATTGAGAAGCACAATACTATAGATCAGGAGGGAAAGCCACTAGATAGTACGTGGCGTGCTCTCTTTAATGTGCAAAATTAATTTCTCTTGTCTTGGATGCGCGCGCGTTAATTGGAATCACTTCACTACGTTTGGAATGACGTGGTTGATGTGCCGTTTAATTAAATTTCAAATGACGCGAGCCAACAGATCACGACACTTTTGTATATAAAAAGAGCGTGTGAATTAAACAAGTCACATATTATTAGCACTGATGAAGATCCGGGCTTACGGATCGAAAGCTTTGCAGTAATAAATTTACGTGGTGTTTCCACAAACAAAACCTATTATATTTTATCACCATGCAAACATACAAAGAACTTATACCTGACCTATAGAGTTAAAATGAAACATGACAACGAGGTCATTTGGACCAGTTTTATGCCAACGAAAGACTTGTGAATTGAGCTATTTATGAAATTCTTTCGGTTCCTAACATTTCAGTCAGAATTGAATATCAGACAATATTTTTCACCAT